AAAAAAAAAAAAAAAAAAAAAAAAAAAAAAAAAAAAAAAAAAAAAGAATGAAAAAATAAGGAAATCAGACAAAATTCCTTTTTTTTTCTTCAGCTAAATGTTACCTGTATTTAAGAAATCTGTACACTCATCCAACAGTGAAGATTCAGGCCTCTTAGGAATTTTGTATTTTGTATCTTATGGACTATGAAAATCGCACAATTTAATGGCAGATTATGTATTTTTAGATTGTGATAATTATTTATAGCTGCGATTTGATAAAAACCCAGCCTTTCGATCCCTATAATTTACTGCCTTACTTTAATTATATCTCAGCCGTATGACTGTGGGAAAGATGATAGAACTTCTTGGTAGCAAAGCTGGAGTTTCATGTGGTAGGTTTCACTATGGCAGTGCATTTGGGGAGCCCAGTGGTCATGCAGATAAAGTTGAAACGTTAAGGTATCTAATGTTATATTTCAATTTTGTACCTGACCCACACATCCGCCTCGTATATGTCTAGTATTGATAACCTTCTATGTTTATATTTCATTTTGTCAGTGAAACCCTTGTGAATCACGGTTTTAGCTACAACGGCAAAGACTTCATTTACTCAGGTGTTTCTATCAGCCTCGTCTGTTTCATTATTCGATAGTAATATGAAATAACATGCAAGAACAGTTTATTTAACTGTTCATAAATATGATATATTTATTGCTCTTGAGAGATACTCGAACAATTGATGTAATTGTCATTTACATGTGTTTCTGGCTGTGACATGATCTCTAAGACATGACTGTTAAGTGTACCACTTCTTTGTTATAGTATTCAGTGCAAATAATGGTGTTGAAGCAAAGTTTAAGAAATACAAATTATTTAGAATCTGTGGGAAGGAGAAATTGCTATTTATATTTACGTCAGACCTAAGATTTTGGTGGGTTCAGTCTCATATTTTAATCTGTATATGTATTCCAGGCATTACCGGAGAGCCACTGCAAGCATATATATTCATGGGTCCGATTTATTACCAGAAGTTAAAGCACATGGTGAGTAATAACTCTTAAGTTAACAGTTACCACTACCTGCCTTAGTTGTACATTTTATGCTTTGGTTGTGGTACATGTTGGTTCTAGTCATACATGGGTACGTCCTATTGATGTACAATGTTTTTATTAACGTCTCTGGCTTTCTACTTCCCGTTCAATTTTAGGTCTTGGATAAAATGCATGCTCGAGCTAGTGGGCCCCGAGTTATGCTGACTAGACAGCCTACAGCTGGAAAGGCTAGAAATGGAGGTTTGAGAATTTGATATAATACATTTTTCTAATGGGTAATGATATTATTGATGTGTTGGCAATTACCACGCCTGATTTTAGATTCTGTCAAGTAAAAACGTGTCTGCTTTTAGGTGTGCGAGAAGTGTGGTCTCCTGGGATATCACGACTTTAAGCTAAAGACGGGCTATTGTTCTACTTGTAAGGACGTGAAGAATATGTCCTCTGTTAAAATGCCTTATGCATGCAAGCTTTTAATCCAGGTAATAATGCCAATTGATGCTTTCGCTGTTTGAAAATGTGCATAATGGTCCTCTGTTTCTTCCTTAAAGTTTTATATGTGTTTCGACTGGAAATTTAAATATATTGATCCCTGTAGGCTTTGGTAGCTCTGTTAGTATTGCACTCTGCCCTAGCATAAATGAAATTTTACTATGCAGTCACCATCAGTTTTACTGGAAAATATGTTCGGGCGATTTAAAGCATTTCAATTATCAAACACTCTTCATTTTGTATGCCAAAATCTCAAGTTTGTAAGATTTTTGGCATGTATATGCTGCAAATTAATTGACCAACTCCATCAATCTTCAGATCCTGCTTGAAGTAAATAAATGAGGAATATAATTGGTGGGCATATTGCTGTTAAATTTGTTAAATTAATTGCATATGATACAATTTCATAATGGTTTAGAACTTCATATTTGAGATCTCTAGAAAAATCATTATTGTTTACAAGGCATCATTGTTGCATAATTTGATATTTTTTTCCCCTTTTTTGATCTCAGGAGCTCCAGTCGATGAATATTATTCCTCGTTTAAAGTTATCTGCGGCTTAAATGGATGTTGAAGTCCCTTTTTTCCTTTTTTGTGTATGATATCCTTTGAAGCAATGTGTTTATAAAAATGAGCTTTTTTTATTAATCAGAGTTAACTTTGAAAACATTGGTATGATTAGTTGTTAGTTGAATTTTAATTTTATATTAAAATAATATTTAAAATAAAATAATTAAAATTAATTTGATTTAAAGTAGGAGAGAGATGGTGTGAAATGATGATTAGTTAAAATTATGTGAGTAGATGAATAGTAAATTAAAGTTGATGTGATATGTAAGAATAATTGGTTAGTATTATTTAATTATACTATTACGTAGTCCGTGCGATGCACGGGGTAATAGTATAAAGTAATGAAGGAATATTAATTAGTATAAAATATTTTTAGTATTAATATTTAATTTTTATATTTTATTCTACTGTTATGATATATAATAGTTTAATATGACATTTATATGGTTATTTAATCCGTCATAAATAGTTGTCATTTTAGTTTTTTATAATATAATAATTAAATGACAATTCGACAAATGACCCGTTTATTTATTATTTTAATATGGTATATACTTGATCATTGAATAATTGTTTACTTATATTTCTGTAAATTTTAGCATTATTTTTTTTTTAAACCCGTGAGAGATAAATACAATAATTACAATTTTATTTGTTTTATACTAAATCAGTTTATTTATATTTAGTATGATTAATTTGAGACTAAATTCATATTTTTAAATCAATATTGAATAACAAATTTAAGTTCATTTTGTATATGGAATATTAACTAATAAACTTATTAATATCTTAAAAGTAATTAATTTTTTATTTATACATACAATATGAATAGCAAATTGAAGATCGTGTGAAACGAAGGTTAATTTAATATTATATATAAAAAATAGAAAACAAATAAAATCATTATTTAGTTTTTAAAAGGAAATGATTAATAATAATAATAATAATAATAATAGTTAAAATGGAAAAAAAAACATGCAACAATATTAATGATATATTATATTCATATCATATTTGACATACTATACGCAAATTAAATTGGAAGGAATTTATTAGATTTTAATTTGTGGTGTAAAAATAATATTGATTTGGACATTAGAAAATAAATTTAGTCGTGCTATAAAATAATGAGGGAAAAGTAAAAACTTAGAAAGGTAAAAGATTTTCTTTTAATTTGTTTTGTAAAATAAGAAGTAATTTATTTTATGAGGAACAAATTTGGTTAAGAAAGAAAAAAGGAAAACGACAATTGTAGGGGAAAGTCACTTTTGAAAATATATACGCGTTTTTCCAAGAAAAAACTGATGTGAATATATTTTTTTTTTAATTTCACTTATAATTGGTAAAATTCCTTAAATAGAAAGTCAATGTATTTAATTAAAAAGTCCTCTTAATAATTTAGATTTTCCCAACAACTTCTTTTATTTTGTATCTATATTAATATTGATTTTCGTTTGGATCAATTTATGAGATGTGGGTGATTTGTAAATATAATTTGATAATATCCATTAAATACCCTAATTTTTTTGGTTTCAATAGATACTCGATTTTTAAAATTTGAATGTCTTGTTCTATTCATTTTTAAGAACAATTAATATTTATTTTGATAAAAAAAACATCTTTTTAAATTCCGATACTTCTGTAACTTATTTATTAAAAATAGTTATTTTTTTTAAATGAATCGTACTTGATTGTGAGAAATTAATCAATTTAGATTTTTGGATTTATGAAACATTGAAAATAGATAAACCTAAATATTCTCAAAGCCCCTACGAACAAAAATTGCGTTGTTTGATAAATATAAAATCCTCCATACATGTAAAGGATTATAAAATCATATTTAAAAATAAAACTAAAAAATTTAGGCTATTTTAGAGGGATATATACATGGAGCGAAATATTTGAATTCACGATGGAAACATTTCTAAACTTTCAACCGAGATTTTTAATCCTAAAATGATCTAAAATCCACAATTTGTGGAAACATTTTATGTTAATTGATTTTTTACAAAATTAAAATAAAAAAAGTTACTATTAATGGATTGCAATTAATGTTTATAGTTTTTTATGGCTACTATTTTTGGTAAATAGTAATTCTTATTATATATATATATATATATA